TTACCCTGCCTCTCTTGGGGAGACTCGTGCCCATGTTGTGTGAACAACTCTGCACGAGCACCTAAGGAGGCTTACCTCCTTACTAGCCCGTGGTGGCGCGTACGTGTCTCTAGTGAGATGTACGAAGGGATTGACAACCTGAAATCCCTTTACGACCGTGTCGGGAAGACTTTCTCCGGCGGTCCTTCTGCGGCACAGGATGTGCCGCGTCGTACTGCTCAACCAGACCCAGTACGTCGATCATCTGCTGGGAGCGGGGCTCCCAAGTATTCCAGGACGGGGGATAGCCGCGCCACCGGACGAGATAACTCGTCTGACGTCCGTTCACGTCGCGGTGGTTCAACAGCTGCTCAACTCGATAGCGCTGGCCACCGCGAGAGTCCTCTAATGGAGGTGGAGGAGGAGGAAAGACGCTCTCCACACGATCATGTTGATCCGTGTGTTCCCGAGAGCTTCTTTGATCGCGTAACGCAAGGGTTACGCGACGATCTCGAACATGAGCGGAATAGGCGTCTCCAAATGGCGGACACTGTCTCGAAGCATCGAGCTGAGTTTGCCTTTGCTCAGCTTGAGAACGAGAGATCTCTGACATCTCTTCGTGACGAACTAAGGGTAGCTCGTGGGATTGTTGATCGGTCTCGGGATGAGATAGCTGCTCTTCAGACCCTTGTCGATGCCCACCATCGGGAGCACAAGGCTCTCTGCGAGATGCTTGAGCGCAAGGGCGTTCTTCATCGGAAGAAGCAGCGTACTGATGGTACGGCTTAAGCCGACCAACGTAAAACGTGGGATGCGTTCGCATCTTACGTGGTAACTCGATCGTGTATGCATTGCCTAGGCGGTGCAATACACGAAATGGGCCAATGTACTTGGGTAGTAGTTTACTGCTACCCAAGTTAGTCACTACATGCTTTGGTAGATTAACCGTAGACAGTAGGACTAAGTCACCTTTATTGAATGAAAGAGTGTTTGCCCTTCCATTCTTGTCAGCGTTTTGCTTTTTGCTTATCCACCGCTTCGGCGATGGAGTCTTGCACAAAACGGACTACCGTTTCACGAGCCAGTATGAACTCATCTGATGACTCGTTAGCTTCAGTGTGCTGTGAGCTCACTGCAGCAACATCAACCTTTTCTTCAGTGAGGGCTTCCGCACTCTCACTGGGATCATCTTTTCAGTGAGGGCTTCCGCACTCGCACTGGCATCATCTTCTTCGATATCGATGTTATCGATATCGGCATCAAACGCAATGACTTCTTCGTCAGAGCGTGATGAGCGTGAACCAAATCGGTTTTTGCTCGCGCGAGTCCCTCCCCCCCTTAAACCAGAGTTACACTCTAGTAAGGTGGGTACACGCGGATGGCGCAAGCCGTTCACGTAAAACGGTGTATGTGTCGTGGACGCATGCACCGAGTTGTTGATGGCAAACTCTACCATTGGCAAAAACTCACTCCAACCCTTAAAGGAGTGTACGCATCCTCGAAGTATTTCTTCGAGGACACGATTGGCGCATTCCGTCTGACCATCGGACTCTGGATGATCAGATGTCGACATCTTCAAGCGCGTTCCGAGTGATTTGAACACGGAACGCCAGAAATCAGCTGTGAAGCGTGGATCTCTGTCTGACACTAGTTCACGGGGCAACCCATGAAGTCGGAAGATGGTGTCGATAAAGACACAAGCACAGCCACTTGCTGTGATTGTCTCTGGTACAGCCACAAGGTGTACCATTCTGCTGAATCTGTCAACAAATACGAGAATACCCGTATTCCCGCGTGCGTCTTTGGGTAACCCGAAGACAAAATCCATTGATATGGATTCCCAGCACTCTGCCGGAACTGGTAGAGGCTGTAAAGGTGCACGCAGTGAAGGACTTGACTTTACACGTTGACAGACTTCGCATGCGCGAACATACTTTCGCACAAACTGATACTGGCGGGGCCAGTAAAAGTCTCGACTCACCGTGAGATATGTTTTCTCTCGACCACGATGTCCTCCTATAGGAGCATCGTGATACTCGAACATGATCCGCAAACGCAGGTCAGTATCATCTGGAATGACAACACGTGGTGTGTCACCAGAAACGGCTGTATAATACAGTAAACCGTCGCGAGTAGTGTATCGATCTGATGCAGATCGATACGCAGACGATAATCGTTTCAACGATTCTCGAGATGGTTGTGAGAGATGTGTCAACAACTTCACTATCTCACCATCTTGGGCGTATGCCCGCCTCACATCATCATACAACGTTGTAGATGGGACTGAGGACGTCATAACCGCAACAGTGGCTGTCTCACTCTTGGGTTTCGCGACTGTTTCAAAGTCGGGCCGACGTGAGAGTGCATCAGCGACGACATTAAGTCGTCCTGGTTTGTACTCGACCGTAAAGTTGTATTCCGCAAAGAATGACAACCACCGCGCCATTCGTTGTGAAAGGTGCGGGCTGTTCACTGCCGTGCGTAATGACGCATGGTCAGTGTAAACAACGAAGGGTCTATCTCCTAATAGATAGACTCTGAACTTCGCGAGTGCATACTTCATGGCAAGGAGTTCCTTGTCATGCACTGGATGGTTCTGCTCAGCTGGTTGCAGCTGACGCGACTGATAGCAGACGACGCGTTCAACGCCTTCAAGATCGTACTGCATTAATGCACAGCCGATTGCGAAATCGCTGGCATCACAGACCACATGAAATGACCTGTCCTGATCGGCTATTGCTAGGACTGGGGATTGTATCAAGCTCTGCTTGATACCATCAAAGGAAAGCTGACATTCAGCGTTCCATAACCACCTCTCGTTCTTTTTCAACAAACGAGAGAGGTGCACAGTCATCTCGGCGTTATTGCGTGAATACTTTTGCAAATACGCCGCTAGCCCAAGGAATTTTCGAAGACCTTTGACATCAACCGGCACAGGCCAGTCGGTGATCGCCTTGATCTTTTCGGGATCAGGACGTACACCGTTCTTACCAACGATGCACCCAAGAAGTGGTATTTCGCTTGCTGCAAATATACACTTCTTGAGGTTAGCATACAATTGATGCTTTCGCATGATTTTAAGAACTTGTCGGACGTGGTACCTGTGAACCTCAACGTCCGACTTTCCATCCATAGCTCGACTATGGATGAATACGTCATCGAAATAACTCGGCGCGAATTCTTGTGCTGGTCTGAACAGATGTGATACACATCTGTTGAACGTGGCAGGGGCATTACTAAGCCCTTGTGGCATTACTAGCCATTCCCAGAGCATGCTACTAGGCATGCTCACTGCGGTACAGGGTATATCCCGTTCTCGCATAAGGATCTGATAGAATCCATCCATCAGATCCATGGACGAAGAGATGGTACTTTTTGCGATACCAACTATGATGACATCCTTTCTTGGGATCGGCGTTTGAGCCGGTACCGTTGCATCATTCAATTTGTTGACGCGTGCAATATCCGTTACCCTCCTGTGGCCTTTCGCACACAGAAGGTCGGAGACCTATGTGGGGAAGTTGATTCTCTCACATGGCCCGCAGCTAAACGATCGGCAAAGAACTTGTCGATCGTAAGTACTTGTTCACGATGCAGTGGCCACTGCTTCATGACACAGTACTTCGAGCCTGGTTTAAGCTCGACCTCGTGTCGAATACCTTTATCCTTCGGTAATTCGCACGGAACAGTTTCAGGGAATACATCCTTGAATTCAACCAAATCTTCATAGAGAGGATTTGTCTTGAGCGATTCCCACGATTGGGAGTCATATCGCTCAATTTGTGTCTTTTCATCTAGGACGCTCTCGTCCATAGATGAACTACTGAGAACTCTCTCGTTCTCAGTGAACACTGTTGCTGACCTTATGTCGGTTACACACTCGTCGTCAGCGACGAGTATGCAGATCTGCTTGACTTTGCCACTACGCAGATCACGCAAGAACCTTTTATGTTCGAGCGTTGGCAACTGAGTGATCTCCGAAGTTAACTTCGGAGGCGCAATCAGATCAAGTGTATAAGCGCCTACACTTGATCCGTTATTGACTATGACATTCAATGTCTCTGTCATTTCCTGTGGACTTATTCCCTCAGGCTTCGAAGGACTTATTCCTTCGGCTTCCCGGGGACTTATTCCCTCGGGTTTCGGGGAACTTATTTCCGCCGTATTTGTAATCTTGGGACTTATTCCCTTTACTTCCTCTAGCTGGGGTTGCGCAACCACAGCGAGATCCTCTACGAAAGACTCTCCAGTCAATCTAGGATTATCGTTTCGCTTAACCTGAGCGATCGATTGTTTATCTTCTAGATGTTCCCCGCTAGGGATACATCTTTGTCCCGGTCCACTCGACTTATTCGAGTGGTGGACCTTCGGCGCAGCCTGTGTTTCCTCACAGCCGCCGGAACTTTGCTCCGAAGTGTAACCGTTTGGTACACTAAGGTTTTGTGCAGTCGTACTAACGACCGTACCACAAGTGAGGCCATCGCACTCACTCGTAGTACATCCACACGCTTGTGGACGCTCCAAAACGTTCATCAGATGGCCATCTGATGAACAAGCGGCAGGCATCGTCACTGTCCGATGTTGCCAGTTTACCCGTGGTTCGTACCTTCTGAGCCACGGTATTCCAAGGATGACATTAAATTTGTCATCCAAATCCAATACGATAAAGTCATCGTCATATTGAGTATCTTCTAGCGTATAGTGGATCTTCACTATACGCTTCATGACGGTTACGGATGCGCCTGTCGCAAGACGTACCGTCATCCTCGTTGGAGGTGTGTCACATTCACTGAATTTAAAGTGACCATCTTCTAGCGATTGGCGTCGCACAAAATTGTTGGACGCCCCACAATCGACTAGAGCTCGAAGGGACAACTTATTTGTCACTTCGAGTTTCAAGGTAATGAGTGAGATCTCATTACCTAGAGCAGCAACGCACAACGTTTGTGTGTTGGGAGCAACCTTCATCAAGAGGCCTGAAAGTTCTCTTGACGTTGCTGGAACAGTAGGGTGCTCCGCACCTACTGATCCTGTCCGTTTTTTGACGGTCCATCCCGTTGTTGCGTCTTTGCACCAACAGCGGACCCTCGTCCCTGCCCCTTTCTCATGGGTGGACGGTCACTACGCCCAGTGTCGCGAGACACTGGACGAGGGGCACTACACTCGTAAGCGTAGTGTCCTGTCTTTCGACATCTGTTGCATTTCTGCAACTTCTTGTAGCCTGTAGAGCGAGCCTTCTCGCTCTCTACATAACAGAGTTCCATCGGCTCTGGACCTCCGTTGTCATATCGTCTCGGTTGACGATATGATGTCGAACTGGCGCGAGCCTGTCTCAGGCTGAAGTCTTCCTGCTCCGCAATGGAAATGGCTTGTTCTAGTGAATCTAGTTCAAGCCGGAACAGGTGAGTCTTGACGGGACCATCCGCAAGACCCTGCATGAACACCGAAACCAACGTGTGTTCATCAACCGGGTTGGAACTTATACAACTCGTGAGATGTCGTATATGTTGCGCGTAAGCGTGCACATCACGCTTACCTTGCTTGAGCTTCAAGAGTTCGGTCCGAGCTCTGAACTCAGCTCTAGGCGGTTCAAACGTTTGTCTGAGCCGCGACTTGAAGACTTCCAACGACCCAAACGCATATGGGTCGTGCAGCTTGAGCCCCAGTGCCCAAGTCTTGGCACGTCCTACCAGATTTGACTGGGCGAATGCAACTTGCATATCCCCGTCGTCGATGCGACGCGCCCTTATGGCGTCATCCAATTCGACGAACCATCTCAAGAGCGAGTCTTCTTCGACCCCCCCTATACTTGGAGATGTCAATCTTCAAAGTCTCGGGTCGACGCGAGTGCATCGACCCGCCAGCAGCAGCCTGCTGCTGTCTCAACAGTTCAAACTGTTGAGCACCTTGTTCTCTCAACAACTCTGCTTGTTGAGAACCTTGTTGGTGAAGCAAGGCTACTTTCTCGCGTTCTGCGTCAAGTTCATTTTGAATGAACTTGGCGATAGTAGCATGTTGGGCATCTATATTGAGAGCCTCTAGCATGACGCTAACAGCATGGATGCCCATGGTTGAACCCATTCGTTCAACCGCATCCCATTCGACATCGCTCAAATGGGAGTAGCCGTCACGCGCAGCGTGAAAGCTTTGGTCATCTTCATCATCCAACACATTCATGTTAGATGTGAACGTGGTCCTTGGACGGACTACGAAGTGCTACCAGGTGTAACGGGGCACCCTGAAGCTTGTACTGATGACAGTACAAGCTACTTATTCTGACGACAGAATAAGGTGGTGCCTCGAAACTTCACGTACACTCGTACGTGCAGAGGAAGACGGTAAGGAGAAGCGAGTACTTGGTTAAAGTAAAAGTAGAACTGTAGTTAGTATAGTTAATGTCTGTTAATAAACCACTGTTTATCCTCATCTAACTATGTCTAAATACAAATGTGTAAATCAGCTATCTGCTCACCACTCATTGCGTGCGTCTGTTGTGGCGCGTCTTCGTTGGTTGATATAATGGCCTATATCAACCAATTAGGAACTACTCGTAAGTGCTACAGAATATTTGTCCTTATGACAATATTCTACGAATATAACTCTTACAGTTATATTCTATTATCAAATTCTTATAAATTGTTATGTAACGATTCATCCCGTTACAACGGGGGAAGAAGTCAGTGGATCAAGAAGTCAGAATTGATATTGAACGAGTTGAAGGTTGGCTACATTGATGTCGCGTTACCTCTTCACTAGTCTACGAATCCACGCCTACGGCTTGAACTGTTTGAACAGATACAGTCGGTTCGTGGGACAGGTTCAGGATAAGCTTGTCTCTCGTCATCAACTCCGGTCAGTGTCATCGCGGTCGCCGAGACCTTGATCGCATGAAAAGCTTGGCAGATAGGTCTGAGCCGAAGGCCTAGTAGTCGATGTGGTCGTTGTGGTGGTCGAAGTGGTCGAAGTGGTGGTGGTGGTCGTGTCCATCATCTTCGACATACACCCGACTGTCCTTATCCGTGAGGATATTAGAAAGCACGTCAAGTCCATCAAGAAGTTCGTTCCGACGGATATCTGTAGCTTGTACACAGATCGTCGTTGCTGTGACCGCAGCAAGAAGGAGGCAATTGGAGAGTTTCATCTTAGAGTGAAGGTGGTGAGGGATGCTGGGAAGTCTTGGCAAGTTGCAGAATGATAAAAAGCAAGCAGACGTGCAAGCCGGACCGGGTCTCGAGTCGATCGTATCGAATCAAAAGCAGGTTCACCGTTTTCCGGGAGATGAACTTCTGTCGCACCCGGTGTCGGTTGTGAAAGAAACGCACGCCTGTTGACATCAAATGAATAAGCCTTCAAAACGACCGGACAGGCGAGTACGACTGTTCCTGACTGAGAGTTTGGTGCGAGATGCGATGTTACATCATCTACATCTGAAAGCAGGTCACGTTGGATCAAGAATAGTACGAACATCGTGCTCTTTACCTACAAACAGTGACGGCGATATCGTCTGGCATCGTTTGTCAATTCTTTTGAGGATAGGTCCAACCTGGTAAAAGCGAATCGCCAACGGGGGTTCCCAACTAGCTAGCTACCTAGCTAAGGGGATTGTAGCAGCGCGTCCAACCACTGTGCAGCCCATGGAAGCGATCCGGCACAACATGTAAAATGGCTGACGTTCAGTTTTCTTCTGCTGCGGTGCAGCTTGGTTTTGACGCCGGTTTCGCAACTCTCTTCAGCCGAGACATGGTCGACATTTTTAAAAAAAAAGGGCAGCCCTGATCAATCGCGATTGGTCACTGTCAACAGTATCGTGTGCATCCAGGTAGGTGTTCCATTCGTTTCTCATTTGTGCCTCTGGACAGTCCAGTTCTAAGCGAAACCGCTGCAAACTGGTGGTGGATTTTATGGCGGAAGATGATGTGTATTCATGCAGAGGCTATGATTAGAAACGAGGGTGAAGATCTATATCAGGGAACAGTACCTTCAACATCGAGTCACCTCAGTGATCATGAACACTACAGATGCTCGAGTCAAGCAGGCCTGCAGACGTGCGTGATACGTCCGTGTCAGCCTGAAAATGGGGGACTTGTCAACTCAGCGCAGAGCATCTAGAGAGACGTAAAAAGGCTGGGTATGATCAGCGGAGAGGCGATCGCCATTCACAACCTACACGCAGGCAGATAACATTTAACGGGGTAGCCCGTTACACGGAATCGATACCAAACGGTGTCAATAGGAAATATTGTCTTGCGTGATAATATTCTACCGATATTATCCGGGATGGAAATATTGAAGGAATATTATCCACTTTTAGGATAAAATTCATGCGCTGCTCAAAGATTGGTTGATGTACCACATATCAACCATAGATTGTCACCAATCGCAGCTAGACGCGCGCAATGAGTGGTGAGCTGGTTGTCGTCATACGACGGCGTAGTTTAAAATAGTTGGATAAAGATTAGAGTTACATTGATAGCTTAACTAAATAAAATGCATTTCTTTTTTTATCTTTGCTTGACCGAGTCGTTTAAGTAGAATAGCTTCCTCTGCACGTACTAGTGCACGTGAAGTTTCGCGGCACCCCAAACAAAGGGTGCCCCGTTACACCTGGTAGCACTTTGTAGTCCGTCCAATGACTACTTAGTGTCCGTTCAACATGAACATGTTGGAAGTAGAAGACGACAGCTTTCACGTCACACGTGAAGGCTACTCCCATCTGAGTGGCTCAGAATGGGAGGTAGTCGGCCGCATGAGTGTGCTCATGGGCGAACTCGCCATCAGTGGTATGTTGGAGTCTCTAAGCAGAGACCAGCAACATGCTGCTATCAACACGTTCCCACAAGGGGAACTTGCCGTCGAAAGACCGAAGATGGCCTTGCTACAGCAGCAAGGCTCTCATCAGTCGATCGGCGGGCCGACACACACGCGTCTATTAGAAAACTTGAAGATCGATATCTCAAGGTACAAGGGAACAGATGGAGATTCCCTTTTAAGATGGTTCGTCGAGTTAGACGACGCCATCAGGGCCCGTCACATCGAGGGTGACGGGATGCAATTCGCCTTCGCTGTGCTAAATTTGACAGTACGAGCAAAGACTTGGGCCTTAGGGCTCAAGCTTTACGACCCGAACGTGTTTGAGTCGTTGGAGGTCTTGAAGTCTCGGCTCAAAGAGACGTTTGAGCCGCCAAGAGCCGATCTCAGAGCACGCTCTGCACTCTTGAGGCTCAAGCAAGGTAAGCGTGATGTGCATGATTACGCACAACACCTACGCTACCTTGCGAGTAGCGTCACGGAAAACCCTGTTGATGAGCACACGCTCATTAATGTGTTAATCTACAGCCTTGTAGATGGATTAGTTAAGACCTACATGTTCCGGAGAGGACTTCCATACGCTGGAAAAGGTGACAGCATATGCGGAACAAGAGGACTTTTGTCTGAGACAGGCTCAGACTAACTCGCGAAACTATCGTCCGACGATACGACAGGAAACAGGAGGTCCCGAACCAATGGACCTCTGTTACATCGAGGGCTAGAACTCTCGCTCTCTGAGTCACAAGCGAACGGCAAGATGCCATCGCTGTCAGAAGATTGGACACTACGCTCATGAGTGTAGTGTCCCGAGCACTGGAACACGTCCAAAGACAGGACGTAATGACCGCCGTCGGCCAAGGAAGGGTCCGAGGCGTGAGTCCGATCATGTCGCTTAGCCGCGACAGCAAGTCGGACCGTCCAAAAACGGTCAGGGTCATTAGGGGCGGAGCACCCTGCTGATCCAGCAACGTCAAGAGAATTTACAGGACCCTTGACGAAAATTGCTCCCAACACGCAGTCTCTGTGTGCTACTGCCTCTAGTGATGAGGAGTCTCCTATCACTTTGAAGATCGAAATGACACGTAGAAAGTCCCTTCGCGCCCTAGTTGACTGTGGGGCGTCGAACAGTTTTATTCGACGTCAGTCGCTAAGGGATAGTAGGCTCGACTATGTTAAGCGAGAGTTCCATCCAACGAGAATGACGGTGTGTCTTGCAACAGGCGCATCCGTAACAGTGAACAAACGTGTAGTGGGAATCCACTACAAACTAGAAGGAAAGCAGTACGATGATGACTTTATCGTATTAGATTTTAATGAAAAATTTGTTGTCACTCCTTGGTCTGTCATGGCTTCGAAAGTACCAGCCATGGGTTAGCTGACAGCATCGATCCGAGAAGATGCCTGCCGTTTGTTCATCAGATGGCCATCTGATGAACGTCTTGGAGCGTCCACAAGCGTGTGGATGTACTACGTGTGAGTGCGATGGCCTCAATTGTGGTACGGTCGTTAGTACGATTGCACAAGATCACAGTGTAGAAGGCCACTGCATTGTGGAACCAGCTTCCGGCACCTGTGTAGAGACACAGGCTGCGCCGAAGGTTCACCACTAGACGAGATCCAATAGACTGGAACACGGATGCACACCAAGAAGGGTGCATCCGAGAAGAGATTATTGTTTTTCTGGATGGACAGCACGTTGAAGCGAGATGGTCTGTCAGAGAATCGATCTTAGAGCAAGGCCGCTTGAATGAAAGAGAGTCGATCGAAGAGGACCTTACTGTGGCAATACACCCATAGTCAGTACACATAATGGAAGTAAGTTCCAGCGCTCCTGAGAGCAATAACTCCCGAGAGAGTTATGTTGAGGGTGTGGATCCCCAACCACCTGCGGATGTATTTGCCCAGAAAATCACCGAGACAGTGAATGTCTTGGTGAATGGCGGATCAGGTATAGGCGCTTATACACTTGATTACCTCCGAAGCTGACTTCGGAGGTAATCAAGTTGCCAATGCTAGAATCTAAAAGATTCTTGCGAGATCTGCGTAGTGACAGGATCGAGCAGATCTACTTACTCATCACAGAGGACGAGTACGTCGACAATGAACGCTCGGCATAAGTGTTTGATGAGAACGAACGGGTTCTTTTTAGATCATCCACGGACGAGAGTGTCCTCGATGAGAAGATCCGGATTGAGCGATACACGTCTCAATCTTGGGAGTCTTTAAAGACAACTCCTTTGTATTAGGATTCGGTCGGATTCAGGGATGTTTTCCCGAATCCGTGCCATGCGAGCTGCCCAAGGACAAAGGCACTCGGCATGAGATCGAACTGAAACCCGGTTCGAAATACTGTGTCATGAAGCAGTGGCCACTTCCTCTTGAAAAGGTCACAGCGATCGACAAATTCTTAGCCAATCGTTTAGCGGATGGTCATGTGAGGGAGTCAACTTCTCCTCACAGCTCTCCGACCTTCTGTGTGTGAAAAGCCACAAGAGGGTGGTGGATAGTGCACGTGTTCAACAAATTGAACACTTCAACGGTACCGGCTCAAACGCCGATCCCAAGAAAGGATGTCATAATAGATGGTATGGCAAAGAGTACCATCTTTTCATCCATGGGTCTGATGGATGGATTCTATCAAATCCTAATGCGTGAACGGGATATCACTTACACAGCAGTGGGCACCCCCAGTGGTATGCTCTGGGAGTGGCTAGTGATGCCACAGGGGCTAAGTTACGCCCCCGCAACGTTTAACATATTTGTTACGCATATGTTGCGATCGGTGCGCGATTTCGCACCGAGTTACTTCGACGATGTCTTCGTCCATATCCGGGCTATGGATGGAATTATGGACTTTGAGGTTCATAGAATCCATGTCCGGGACGTTCGTATAGTCATGCGAGAGCATAAGTTGTTGGCGAGCCCCAAGAAGTGTATATTCGCAGCGAACGAAATACCACTTCTTGGCTGCATTGTGGATAAAAACGGCGTTCGCCCTGATCCGGAAAAGATCAAGGCGATTAGCGAATGGCCTGTGCCAGTCGACGTCAAGGGACTTCGAAAGTTCGTTGGCTTGGCGGCGTACTTGCACAAATACTCGCACAACTATGCAGAGATGACCGTGCATCTCTCTCGTCTACTAAATAAAAACGAGAGGTGGTCATGGAGCGCTGAGTGTCAGCACTCTTTTGAAGGCATCAAGAAAAGCTCGGTGCAATAGCCTGTGTTGGCGATTGCAGATCAGGATAGGCCATTTCATGTGGTCTGTGACGCCAGCGATTTTGCGATCGGCTGCGCGTTAATGCAGTACGACTCAGACGGCGTTGAGCGCGTCGTCTGTTATCAATCGCGTCAGCTGCAAACAGCTGAGCGGAACTATCCAGTGCATGACAAGGAACGCATTGCCATGAAATATGCACTGGCTAAGTTCCGGGTATATGTCTTCGGAGATAGACCATTCATCGTTTATACCGACCATGCGTCGTTACGCACAGCCATAAACAGGCCACACCTCTTGCAACAAATGGCGAGGTGGCTGTCTTTCTTCGCGGAGTACAACTTCTCCGTCGAGTACAAACCAGGACGACTTAATGTCGTCGCTGATGCTCTTTTGTGTCGGCTCGATTTCGAGTCGACTGCGCGACCCAACATTAGGGGTGATCCCACTGTCGCGACACTAGCAGTAGGTGTTCCGTCGTCGAATCTGCTCGACGATGTGCGAAAAGCATACGCAGAAGATGAGTTTCTTCTGCGGTTGATGGATTACGTATCCAATCCGTGTTATCAAGCTTTGACAAGCTTGACGTCTCAATACCGCTCTTCAACCGAACGATATTCGGTTCGTGATGGACTGCTGTACTAAACAGCAGTCCACGGCGACACACCTCGTGTCGTCGTTCCGGCTCATAATGATTTGCTATTGCGCATCATGTATGATTGTCATGATGCCCCAACAAGTGGGCATCGCGGTAAGAGAAAAAGACTTACCTCATGGTGAGTCGTGACTTCTACTGACCCCGCCAGTATGAGTTCGTGCGGAAATGCATTCGCGCTCGCGAAGTTTGCCAACGGGTGAAGCCTAGTTCTTCATCTCGCGTACCCTTGCAGCCTCTTCCGATTCTGGCAGAGTGTTGGCAGTCCGTATCGATGGACTTCATCTTCGGGTTTCCCAAAGACGTTCACAAGAATACTGTTATTCTTGTGTTTGTTGATCGGTTCAGCAAGATGGTACATCTGGTTGCTGTACCGGAGTCAATGACAGCCCAGGGCTGTGCGCGTGTATTCATCGATACTATCTTCCGACTTCACGGGTTACCCCGTGAGCTCGTGTCCGATAGGGACCCCCGCTTCACAGTAGAGTTCTGGCAATCCGTGTTCCGTTCACTTGGAACACGTTTGAAGATGTCAGCTTCTGACCACCCAGAAACAGATGATCAAACGGAACGCGTCAACCGCGTTCTCGAAGAGATACTTCGAGGGTATGTACACTCGTTTACGAGCTGGAGTGAGTTCTTGCCGATGGCGGAATTCGTCATCAACAACTCGGTGCACGCGTCTACAACGCATACACCATTCTTCGTGAATGGAATACGCCACCCCACATTTACCCGCCTTCTTAGAGTGTGACTCTAGTTTAAGGGGGGTGGACTCGCTCGAGCAAAAACCGATCTGGTTCTTGCTCATCACCCGTCGACAATGGTGTCGACGTGATGGATACCGACGTCGACCACATCGACATCGATGATGATGTTGGTGACGACGATGCTGGTATATTCAGCATCGCCAATGACTGCCACAGTGAGGACGATGACACCCTCACTGGTGAAGACAACGCTCTTTCAGCAGTGCACACGAAGCACACTGCTGTTGACAAGGAATGAATCAGCAGAGGAATTTCTGCTGACTCGCGAAGCGGGTTGTCCGCTTCGTTCAGGACTCTGTTGCAGATGCACTAGACAGACAAAGGGGAAATGCAGACAAACATGGAAGAGCAAATGTTCTTTCATTTGAAGAAGGAGACCTAGTTTTAATGTCTACATTAAATTCACCGAAGCACGCAGTGACAAACGTGGGCAGCAGTAAATTACTGCTCCGGTACATCGGTCCATTTCGTGTGTTGCGCCGAATGGGCAACGCATACAAGATTGAACTGCCCCGTAAGATGCGTACGCATCCTACGTTTTACGTTGGACGTCTCCGCCCGTACTATCAGTACGGGCCCGTTTCGAGATACGAAGAACACCTCCGCAGTCGAGAGCCGAGACCATCTTCGAGTGGCCCGTTTGATAGAGCTAGTTGGTCGACTAGCGAAGTGACCTGTTCGCGCAGTTGAACGATGTCTCGACGAGCTACAGCCAGCTCTTCACGAAGAAAAAGAGTCGAACGTCCGTTCTCAAGTTGCGCAAACGAAAAAGCGGCACGATCGTCCGAACGATCGTGCGTTAGGGAATTGTAATTATTCCTTACAAGATCCTCAAGCCCATAACGCCGAGACCGTTCATGAGCCAGGTCATCTTGCAACTGTTCCGTGAGACGGTTCAGCTCTTGAACATAAAGTTCAAATTGATCCGACCCTCGAGCTTGATCAGGTGTTCCCACCTCCACCACATCCTTTGGTGGACTCAAGCGGTGGTCAACGCTTCCTAGTGGAGCATATTTTGAACCACCGCGATGTGAATGGCGTCCGGACGAGTTACCCCGTCCTCTAGTATGGCTATCCACCGGCGTGAGATAGCTGGGAGCCTCGTGCCCAGCTGATTGTTGATGTCCTTGGTCTCGTCGAGCAGTACGACGAGACCCACCCGCTGCGTTTGAAGAAGGGCCGTCGGAAAACGACCTTCCCGAACGCGAGTACAGGGATTGCAAGGTGTCAATCCCTTCGGCCATCTCGGAAAAGATGCGCGTTCAGTAGGGATCATTAGGGAGGTAGGCCTTCTTAGGGGCACGGTCCGAGTTTTCCAGGCAACCTGGACACGAATCACCCCACGATAGACAGGGTAATCCTGCCTCTCTTGAAAGCCGGTGCAACTTGTATCGCGCCCCGACTGGGTTGCGTTTATCAAACCTGATGCGAGCTGCATCAAGTTTGGCGAGCCAAGCCTCACGGCCAATACAATCGATGTTGTGGATGAGGGCATTCCATCCCTGCACCAAGGCTTTGCCGTCCTGAACACGGCTGCCATTGTACCATCGATGTTTGAAAAACTCATCGGTGAAGAATTCTTCCTCAGCACGGATAGTTTCCGTGCTGAAATCAGGTGGGCAAATCTTCCTGCAATCATGCAACGGGACTCGATCCCGTTTGGTAGTCGTGCCGGCCACTCGATGTAACTACTTGTATGACGGCATCCATGGAGACTCCACTTGGGGAGCGTGGCGCAGGACATTCCGGTCCCTGGCCTCTTGATTGGTGCCAGCATGAGCTCTGGTACCAGTGTTACCCCGATCCCTCGAGTTACTTTGCTAGTGGCGATGCATAGGGATACCATCACCATCACCACGCGTCCTATCGTTGGATGGGCTTGCGTGAGGCGAGAATTCGTCGGAACAATCGCTCGGTCCGAAGATCTCGGTCATGATACTGCCGCGCTGACCAGAGCCAGTCAACTTGGCTCTTGCAGAGTTTGCCCCGGGTGATTCCGAGGCGTGAGGAGTCGCCTTAGAGTCGGATGCATCATCCGACTCGCCAAAAAACAATGAGCTCTATCTCAGAATCGTCTTGGTTACGACCCGAGGTACCCACTGCAGACGCAACGAACGTACCTGACGTACGTGGTGACTCACCACGTGTAGGATTCACGACAACAGGCGACGAATCACCTTCTGCTGAGGCGTGAGAGGCACATTCCGCGGCCGCACGCATGCGTGCAGCCGCTCTTCTTGCTGCTGCAGTAGCAGCTCGCGTGATTTTTGAAACCATGCTTTGGGTTTGCAAATGAATGGAATTTGACCAACAAGTGCTCCCTTTCCCAAAGTGATCCAACGGTGGTCACCCTGTCCCAAACAATCCTAGTTCAATCAGCGGGTGATTGATAGTGAAGGGGGGGTGATGTAACGGGGTAGCCCGTTACATATAATTGATACCAAACGGTGTCAATAGGAAATATTGTCTTGCGTGACAATATTCTACCGATATTATCCGGGATGGAAATATTGAAGGAATATTATCCACTTTTAGGATAAAATTCATGCGCTGCTCAAAGATTGGTTGATGTACCACATATCAACCATAGATTGTCACCAATCGCAGCTAGACGCGCGCAATGAGTGGTGAGCAGGTTGTCGTCATACGACGGCGAAGTTTAAAATAGTTGGATAAAGATTAGAGTTACATTGATAGCTTAACTAAATCAAATGCAGTTCTTTTTTTATCTTTACTTGACCGAGTCGTTTAAGTAGAATAGCTTCCTCTGCACGTACTAGTGTTCGTGAAGTCTCGCGGCACCCCAAACAAAGGGTGACCCGTTACATTAAAGAGTGCATTTACTGCTAAGCATCATTGCGCATCCTCGTACTGTCACTGACAACCTGGTGCTTTGCGTCCATCTACAACAATGTCGCCACCTTCGGTGGGATATGAGTTCATTTCTATTCTGCTTGCAGTGCTGTAACAAGACATTTACATGAGTGCCTACTGCATGAAACGAGGAGTCCACACACTGGCTTCTTCGTCACGATTCAGTGGCATGCGGAAACTTACGTGCAATATACGAGATCTTGAAGAACAGTTGTCCGGAGGACAAAATCGCTGCACGAAAATGACGTGCACGTTGTGACTGAACAGCTCAATACCAATAACCTTGCACTCAGCTGTATCATCGGGTAATGCGAGCAGATGAACATGCATCATTCCAAATTCGGACGCCTCGGGAGGCGCTCATTCGTTTTGGCGCATTCGTTTTGCAGCTATGCGTCTACAACATGCTTGTGCGCCAGAGAGACTACCGAGAAGCAGATGAGCCGTTGGCCATACTTGCAAGACAATGCAGACCAGACGACAAATAAAGCACCGAAAGATCTGGTGAGATGGTGGCTGATCCGAGTGTCAGCCTGCAACTGATAGACGAACCGTCTGGATGCTTACTTGGCTATGCTTCATCATAGGGTCTGTCCACAAGATAACTGACATCGCACACTTACAACAAGTTGTTCGGAACACTTGTCATCGAGTAATGTGTCGTATCTGCTTCATGGTTCGATCGGGTACTTGCTGTCGTGGAAGTGTTTTATGGTTCTTTGACTTTTGGTACTGTATCAAGTCATGCATTCCAGAGCGGTGACACTATCTCATCATCGCCACGGTTCTGTGGATCAGCACAACACCACGACGCGGGAGCAAGATGGTTTTTGGGTGGTTCGGTTGGTACAGGAGGAGTGTTGTACACCACTTTCCTCTACTGTCGGAGACGCTTTGAGAACAGTCAAGCTCACAATACATGTGCTCGTCGTGAGAGGGCCAGGTATCGGAGGATACACGAAAGTCCACAGCACAATGTCGAATGGTACAAACCGACCTGTGAACACACGTTGCTGGATCTGCTGGAGACGGTGTCCCGATACAAATAACGCGCTACTGGCCAATAAAGGAGAGCAAGTATCCACTTCGGCAGCGATTGCGGTGCATTGACGTATGCTTGCTTACAGCTTTCACACTTCGTAGATCGCAATAAGTCATCAATGTGGTTGTTGCCTCTACATGCAGAACATCTCGGTCAGACGGATTTGTACACGTCACGGTGATAAGGATCGCAACGGTATTCATAAAAGCACCGATTCAGTGTACACCTAGGATCTCTATGCTGCTCAAGCGACGTCCTGCATCTATCGTACGTGCCGACGCATACGCGCAAGCTTTCAAGCGGTAGCGAGGCTTTCTTCACATATTATGTAACGGGGCACCCTTTGTTTGGGGTGCCGCGAAACTTCACGTACACTAGTACGTGCAGAGGAAGCTAATCTACTTAAACGACTCGGTCAAGTAAAGATAAAAAAAGAACTGCATTTGATTTAGTTAAGCTATCAATGTAACTCTAATCTTTATCCAACTATTTTAAACTTCGCCGTCGTATGAAGACAACCTGCTCACCACTCATTGCGCGCGTCTAGCTGCGATTGGTGACAATCTATGGTTGATATGTGGTACATCAACCAATCTTTGAGCAGCGCATGAATTTTATCCTAAAAGTGGATAATATTCCTTCAATATTTCCATCCCGGATAATATCGGTAGAATATTGTCACGCAAGACAATATTTCCTATTGACACCGTTTGGTATCAATTATATGTAACGGGCTACCCCCGTTTACATCACCCCCCTTCACTATCAATCACCCGCTGATTGAACTAGGATTGTTTGGGACAGGGTGACCACCGTTGGATCACTTTGGGAAAGGAGCACTTGTTGGTCAAATTCCATTCATTTTGCAAACCCAAACCATGGTTTCAAAAATCACGCGAGTTGCTACTGCAGCAGCAAGAAGAGCGGCTGCACGCATGCGTGCGGCCGCGGAATGTGCCTCTCACGCCTCAGCAGAAGGTGATTCGTCGCCTGTTGTCGTGAATCCTACACGTGGTGAGTCACCACGTACGTCAGGTACGTTCGTTGCGTCTGCAGTGGGTACCTCGGGTCGTAACCAAGACGATTCTGAGATAGAGCTCATTGTTTTGGCGAGTCCGGATGATGCATCCGACTCTAAGGCGACTCCTCACGCCTCCGGAATCACCGGGGCAAACTCTGCAAGAGCCAAGTTGACTGGCTCTGGTCAGCGCGGCAGTATCATGACCGAGATCTTCGGACCGAGCGATTGTTCCGACGAATTCTCGCCTCACGCAAGCCCATCCAACGATAGGACGCGTGGTGATGGTGATGGTATCCCTGTGCATCGCCACTAGCAAGTAACTCGAGGGATCGGGGTAACACTGGTACCAGAGCTCATGCTGGCACCAATCAAGAGGCCAGGGACCGGAATGTCCCGCGCCACGCTCCCCAAGTGGAGTCTCCATGGATGCCGTCATACAAGTAGTTACATCGAGTGGCCAGCACGACTACCGAACGGGATCGAGTCCCGTTGCATGATTGCAGGAAGATTTGCCCACCTGATTTCAGCACGGAAACTATCCGTGCTGAGGAAGAATTCTGCACCGATGCGTTTTTCAAACATCGATGGTACAATGGTAGCCGTGTTCAGGACGACAAAGCCTTGGTGCAGGGATGGAATGCCCTCATCCACAACATCGATTGTATTGGCCGTGAGGCTTGGCTCGCCAAACTTGATGCAGCTCGCATCAGGTATGATAAACGCAACCCAGTCGGGGCGCGATACAAGTTGCACCGGCTTTCAAGAGAGGCAGGATTACCTGTCTATCGTGGGGGTGATTCGTGTCCAGGTTGCCTGGAAAACTCGGACCGTGCCCCTAAGAAGGCCTACCTCCCTAATGATCCCTACTGAACGCGCATCTCTTCCGAGATGGCCGAAGGATTGACACCTGCAATCCCTGTAGCTCGCGTTCGGGAAGGTCGTTTTCCGACGGCCCTTCTTCAAACGCAGCGGGTGGGTCTCGTCGTACTGCTCGATGAGACCAAGGACATCAACAATCAGCTGGGCACGAGGCTCCCAGCTATCTCACGCCAGTGGATAGCCATACTAGAGGACGGGGTAACTCGTCGGGACGCCATTCACATCGCGGTGGTTCAAATGCGATTTACTAGGAAGCGTTGACCACCGCTTGAGTCCCACCAAAGGATGTGGTGGAGGTGGGAACACCTGATCCAGCTCGAGGGTCGGATCAATTTTGAACTTTATGTTCAAGAGCTGAACCGTCTCACGGAACAGTTGCAAGATGACCTGGCTCATGAACGATCTCGGCGTTATGGGCTTAAGGATCTTGTAAGGAAAATTACAATTCCCTAACGCACGATCGTTCGGACGATCGTGCCGCTTTTTCGTTTGCGCAACTTGAGAACGGACGTTCGACTCTTTTTCTTCGTGAAGAGCTGGCTGTAGCTCGTCGAGACATCGTTCAACTGCGTGAACAGGTCGCTTCGCTAGTCGACCAACTAGCTCTATCAAACGGGCCACTCGAAGATGGTCTCGGCTCTCGACTGCGGAGGTGTTCTTCGTATCTCGAAACGGGCCCGTACTGATAGTACGGGCGGAGACGTCCAACGTAAAACGTAGGATGCGTACGCATCTTACGGGGGCAGTTCAATCTTGTATGCGTTGCCCATTCGGCGCAACACACGAAATGGACCGATGTACCGGAGCAGTAATTTACTGCTGCCCACGTTTGTCACTGCGTGCTTCGGTGAGTTTAATGTAGACATTAAAACTAGGTCTCCTTCTTCAAATGAAAGAACATTTGCTCTTCCATGTTTGTCTGCATTTCTCTTTTGTCTGTCTAGTGCATCTGCAACAGAGTCTGAACGAAGCGGACAACCGCTTCACGAGTCAGCAGAGAAATTCCCCCTGCTGATTCATTCCTTGTCAACAGCAGTGTGCTTCGTGTGCACTGCTGAAAGAGCGTTGTCTTCACCAGTGAGGGTGTCATCGTCCTCACTGTGGCAGTCATTGGCGATGCTGAATATACCAGCATCGTCGTCACCAACGTCATCATCGATGTCGATGTGGTCGACGTCGGCATCCATCACGTCGACACCATTGTCGACGGGTGATGAGCAAGAACCAGATCGGTTTTTGCTCGAGCGAGTCCACCCCCCCCTTAAACTAGAGTCACACTCTAAGAAGGCGGGTAAACGTGGGTGGCGTATTCCATTCACGAAGAACGGTGTATGCGTTGTAGACGCGTGCACCGAGTTGTTGATGACGAATTCCGCCATCGGCAAGAACCCACTCCAGCTCGTAAACGAGTGTACATACCCTCGAAGTATCTCTTCGAGAACGCGGTTGACGCGTTCCGTTTGATCATCTGTTTCTGGGTGGTCAGAAGCTGACATCTTCAAACGTGTTCCAGAGGTGAACGGAACACGGAATTGCCAGAACTCTACTGTGAAGCGGGGGGTCCCTATCGGACACGAGCTCACGGGGTAACCCGTGAAGTCGGAAGATAGTATCGATGAATACACGCGCACAGCCCTGGGCTGTCATTGACTCCGGTACAGCAACCAGATGTACCATCTTGCTGAACCGATCAACAAACACAAGAGTAACAGTATTCTTGTGAACGTCTTGGGGAAACCCGAAGATGAAGTCCATCGATACGGACTGCCAACACTCTGCCAGAATCGGAAGAGGCTGCAAGGGTCGCGAGATGAAGAACTAGGCTTCACCCGTTGGCAAACTTCGCGACGCGAATGCATTTCCGCACGAACTCATACTGGCGGGGTCAGTAGAAGTCACGACTCACCATGAGGTAAGTCTTTTCTCTACCGCGATGCCCACTTGTTGGGGCATCATGACAATCATACATGATGCGCAATAGCAAATCATTATGAGCCGGAACGACGACACGGTGTGTCGCCGTGGACTGCTGTTTAGTACAGCAGTCCATCACGAACCGAATATCGTTCGGTTGAAGAGCGGTATTGAGACGTCAAGCTTGTCAAGCTTGATAACACGGATTAGATACGCATCCATCAACCGCAGAAAGAAACTCATCTTCTGCGTATGCTTTCGCACATCGTCGAGCAGATTCGACGACGGAACACCTACTGCTAGTGTCGCGACAGGTGGGATCACCCCTAATGTTGGGTCGCGCAGTCGACTCGAAATCGGGCCGACACAAAGAGCATCAGCGACGACATTAAGTCGTCTGGTTTGTACTCGACGGAGAAGTTGTACTCCGCGAAGAAAAGACAGCCACCTCGCCATTTGTTGCGGAGATGTGGCCTGTTTATGGCCGTGCGTAACGACGCATGGTCGGTATAAACGATGAATGGTCTATCTCCGAAGACATATACCCGGAACTTAGCCAGTGCATATTTCATGGCAATGCGTTCCTTGTCATGCTGGATAGTTCGCTCAGCTTTTTGCAGCTGACGCGATTGATAACAGACGACGCGCTCAACGCCGTCTGAGTCGTACTACATTAACGCGCAGCCGATCGCAAAATCGCTGGCGTCACAGACCACATGAAATGGCCTATCCCTGATCTGCAATCGCCAACACGGGCTATTGCACCGAGCTTTTCTTGATGCCTTCAAAGAGTGCTGACACTCAACGCTCCATGACCACCTCTCGTTTTCTTTGTAGACGAGAGAGATGCACGGTCATCTCTGCATAGTTGCGCGAGTATTTGTGCAGGTACGCCGCCAAGCCAACGAACTTTCGAAGTCCCCCTTGACGTCGACTGGCACCAGGCCATTCGCTAATCGCCTTGATCTTTTCCGGATCAGGGCGAACGCCGCTTTTTATCCACAATGCAGCCAAGAAGTGGTATTTCGTTCGCTGCGAATATACACTTCTTGGGGCTCGCCAACAACTTATGCTCTCGCATGACTATACGAACGTCCCGGACATGGATTCTATGAACCTCAAAGTCCATAATTCCATCCATAGCCCGGATATGGACGAAGACATCGTCGAAGTAACTCGGTGCGAAATCGCGCACCGATCGCAGCTTATATGCGTAACAAATATGTTAAACGTTGCGGGGCGTAACTTAGCCCTGGCATCACTAGCCACTCCCAGAGCATACCCACTGGGGGTGCCCACTGCTGTGTAAGTGATATCCCGTTCACGCATTAGGATTTGATGGAATCCATCCATCAGACCCATGGATGAAAAGATGGTACTCTTTGCCTACCATCTATTATGACATCCTTTCTTGGGATCGGCAAGTTCAGGCCGGTACCGTTGAAGTGTTCAATTTGTTGAACACGTGCACTATCCACCACCCTCTTGTGGCTTTTCACACACAGAAGGTCGGAGAGCTGTGAGGAGGAAGTTGACTTCCTCACATGACCATCCGCCTAAACGATTGGCTAAGAAACTTTGTCGATCGCTGTGACTTTTTCAAAAGGAAGTGGCCACTGCTAAGTTTATGCCACAGTATTTCGAACCGGGTTTCAGTTCGATCTCATGCCGAAGTGCCTTGCCTTTGTCCTTGGGCAGCTCGCATGGCACGGATTCAGGGAAAACATCCTGAATCCGACCGAATCCCTAAGAGATTATTGTTGCACACCAAGAAGGGTTTCGAGATGGATGGACAGCACGTTGAAGCGAGATGGTCTGTCAGAGAATCGATCTTAGAGCAAGGCCGCTTGACTGAAAGAGAGTCGATCGAAGAGGACCTGACTGTGGCAATACACCCATAGTCAGTACACATAATGGAAGTAAGTTCCAGCGCTCCTGAGAGCAATAACTCCCGAGAGAGTTATGTTGAGGGTGTGGATCCCCAACCACCTGCGGATGTATTTGCCCAGAAAATCACCGAGACAGTGAATGTCTTGGTGAATGGCGGATCAAGTATATGCGCTTATACACTTGATTACCTCCGAAGCTGACTTCGGAGGTAATCAAGTTGCCAATGCTAGAATCTAAAAGATTATTGCGAGATCTGCGTAGTGACAGGATCGAGCAGATCTGCTTACTCATCACAGAGGACGAGTACGTCGACAATGAACGCTCGGCATAAGTGTTTGCTGAGAACGAACGGGTTCTTAGTAGCTCATCCACGGACGAGAGTGTCCTCGATGAGAAGACCCGGATTGAGCGATACACGTCTCAATCTTGGGAGTCTTTAAAGACAACTCCTTTGTATTAGGATTCGGTCGGATTCAGGGATGTTTTCCCGAATCCGTGCCATGCGAGCTGCCCAAGGACAAAGGCACTCGGCATGAGATCGAACTGAAACCCGGTTCGAAATACTGTGTCATGAAGCAGTGGCCACTTCCTCTTGAAAGGTTACAGCGATCGACAAATTCTTAGCCAATCGTTTAGCGGATGGCCATGTGAGGGAGTCAACTTCTCCTCACAGCTCTCCGACCTTCTGTGTGTGAAAAGCCACAAGAGGGTGGTGGATAGTGCACGTGTTCAACAAATTGAACACTTCAACGGTACCGGCTCAAACGCCGATCCAAGAAAGGATGTCATAATAGATGGTATGGCAAAGAGTACCATCTTTTCATCCATGGGTCTGATGGATGGATTCTATCAAATCCTAATGCGTGAACGGGATATCACTTACACAGCAGTGGGCACCCCCAGTGGTATGCTCTGGGAGTGGCTAGTGATACCACAGGGGCTAAGTAGCGCCCCCGCAACGTTTAACAGATGTGTTACGCATATGTTGCGATCGGTGCGCGATTTCGCACCGAGTTACTTCGACGATGTTTTCGTCCATATCCGGGCTACGGATGGAAAGACGGACGTTAAGGCTCATAGAATCCACGTCCGGAAGGTTCTTACTCTGATGCGAGAGCATAAGTTGTTGGCGAGCCCCAAGAAGTGTATATTCGCAGCGAACGAAATACCACTTCTTGGCTGCATTGTGGATAAAAACGGCGTTCGCCCTGATCCGGAAAAGATCAAGGCGATTAGCGAATGGCCTGTGCCAGTCGACGTCAAGGGACTTCGAAAGTTCGTTGGCTTGGCGGCGTACTTGCACAAATACTCGCACAACTATGCAGAGATGACCGTGCATCTCTCTCGTCTACTAAATAAAAACGAGAGGTGGTCATGGAGCGCTGAGTGTCAGCACTCTTTTGAAGGCATCAAGAAAAGCTCGGTGCAATAGCCTGTGTTGGCGATTGCAGATCAGGATAGGCCATTTCATGTGGTCTGTGACGCCAGCGATTTTGCGATCGGCTGCGCGTTAATGCAGTACGACTCAGACGGCGTTAAGCGCGTCGTCTGTTATCAATCGCGTCAGCTGCAAACAGCTGAGCGGAACTATCCAGTGCATGACAAGGAACGCATTGCCATGAAATATGCACTGGCTAAGTTCCGGGTATATGTCTTCGGAGATAGACCATTCATCGTTTATACCGACCATGCGTCGTTACGCACAGCCATAAACAGGCCACACCTCTTGCAACAAATGGCGAGGTGGCTGTCTTTCTTCGCGGAGTACAACTTCTCCGTCGAGTACAAACCAGGACGACTTAATGTCGTCGCTGATGCTCTTTTGTGTCGGCTCGATTTCGAGTCGACTGCGCGACCCAACATTAGGGGTGATCCCACTGTCGCGACACTAGCAGTAGGTGTTCCGTCGTCGAATCTGCTCGACGAAGTGCGAAAAGCATACGCAGAAGATGAGTTTCTTCTGCGGTTGATGGATTACGTATCCAATCCGTGTTATCAAGCTTTGACAAGCTTGACGTCTCAATACCGCTCTTCAACCGAACGATATTCGGTTCGTGATGGACTGCTGTACTAAACAGCAGTCCACGGCGACACACCTTGTGTCGTCGTTCCGGCTCATTATGATTTGCTATTGCGCATCATGATGCCCCAACAAGTGGGCATCGCGGTAGAGAAAAGACTTACCTCATGGTGAGTCGTGACTTCTACTGACCCCGCCAGTATGAGTTCGTGCGGAAATACATTCGCGCTCACGAAGTTTGCCAACGGGTGAAACCTAGTTCTTCATCCCGCGTACCCTTGCAGCCTCTTCCGATTCTGGCAGAGTGTTGGCAGTCCGTATCGATGGACTTCATCTTCGGGTTTCCCAAAGACGTTCACAAGAATACTGTTATTCTTGTGTTTGTTGATCGGTTCAGCAAGATGGTACATCTGGTTGCTGTACCGGAGTCAATCATAGCCCAGGGCTGTGCGCGTGTATTCATCGATACTATCTTCCGACTTCACGGGTTACCCCGTGAACTCGTGTCCGATAGGGACCCCCGCTTCACAGTAGAGTTCTGGCAATCCGTGTTCCGTTCACTTGGAACACGTTTGAAGATGTCAGCTTCTGACCACCCAGAAACAGATGGTCAAACGGAACGCGTCAACAGCTCTCTCGAAGAGATAATTCGAGGGTATGTACACTCGTTTACGAGCTGGAGTGAGTTCTTGCCGATGGCGGAATTCGTCATCAACAACTCGGTGCACGCGTCTACAACGCATACACCATTCTTCGTGAATGGAATACGCCACCCACATTTACCCGCCTTCTTAGAGTGTGACTCTAGTTTAAGGGGGGGGTGGACTCGCTCGAGCAAAAACCGATCTGGTTCTTGCTCATCACCCGTCGACAATGGTGTCGACGTGATGGATACCGACGTCGACCACATCGACATCGATGATGATGTTGGTGACGACGATGCTGGTATATTCAGCATCGCCAATGACTGCCACAGTGAGGACGATGACACCCTCACTGGTGAAGACAACGCTCTTTCAGCAGTGCACACGAAGCACACTGCTGTTGACAAGGAATGAATCAGCAGAGGAATTTCTGCTGACTCGCGAAGCGGTTGTCCGCTTCGTTCAGGACTCTGTTGCAGATGCACTAGACAGACAAAAGAGAAATGCAGACAAACATGGAAGAGCAAATGTTCTTTCATTTGAAGAAGGAGACCTAGTTTTAATGTCTACATTAAACTCACCGAAGCACGCAGTGACAAACGTGGGCAGCAGTACATTACTGCTCCGGTACATCGGTCCATTTCGTGTGTTGCGCCGAATGGGCAACGCATACACGATTGAACTGCCCCGTAAGATGCGTACGCATCCTACGTTTTACGTTGGACGTCTCCGCCCGTACTATCAGTACGGGCCCGTTTCGAGATACGAAGAACACCTCCGCAGTCGAGAGCCGAGACCATCTTCGAGTGGCCCGTTTGATAGAGCTAGTTAGTCGACTAGCGAAGCGACCTGTTCACGCAGTTGAACGATGTCTCGACGAGCTACAGCCAGCTCTTCACGAAGAAAAAGAGTCGAACGTCCGTTCTCAAGTTGCGCAAACGAAAGCGGCACGATCGTCCGAACGATCGTGCGTTAGGGAATTGTAATTATCCCTTACAAGATCCTCAAGCCCATAACGCCGAGACCGTTCATGAGCCAGGTCATCTTGCAACTGTTCCGTGAGACGGTTCAGCTCTTGAACATAAAGTTCAAATTGATCCGACCCTCGAGCTGGATCAGGTGTTCCCACCTCCACCACATCCTTTGGTGGACTCAAGCGGTGGTCAACGCTTCCTAGTAAATCGCATTTTGAACCACCGCGATGTGAATGGCGTCCGGACGAGTTACCCCGTCCTCTAGTATGGCTATCCACCGGCGTGAGATAGCTGGGAGCCTCGTGCCCAGCTGATTGTTGATGTCCTTGGTCTCATCGAGCAGTACGACGAGACCCACCCGCTGCGTTTGAAGAAGGGCCGTCGGAAAACGACCTTCCCGAACGCGAGTACAGGGATTGCAAGGTGTCAATCCCTTCGGCCATCTCGGAAGAGATGCGCGTTCAGTAGGGATCATTAGGGGAGGTAGGCCTTCTTAGGGGCACGGTCCGAGTTTTCCAGGCAACCTGGACACGAATCACCCCACGATAGACAGGGTAATCCTGCCTCTCTTGAAAGCCGGTGCAACTTGTATCGCGCCCCGACTGGGTTGCGTTTATCAAACCTGATGCGAGCTGCATCAAGTTTGGCGAGCCAAGCCTCACGGCCAATACAATCGATGTTGTGGATGAGGGCATTCCATCCCTGCACCAAGGCTTTGCCGTCCTGAACACGGCTACCATTGTACCATCGATGTTTGAAAAACGCATCGGTGCAGAATTCTTCCTCAGCACGGATAGTTTCCGTGCTGAAATCAGGTGGGCAAATCTTCCTGCAATCATGCAACGGGACTCGATCCCGTTCGGTAGTCGTGCTGGCCACTCGATGTAACTACTTGTATGACGGCATCCATGGAGACTCCACTTGGGGAGCGTGGCGCAGGACATTCCGGTCCCTGGCCTCTTGATTGGTGCCAGCATGAGCTCTGGTACCAGTGTTACCCCGATCCCTCGAGTTACTTTGCTAGTGGCGATGCATAGGGATACCATCACCATCACCACGCGTCCTATCGTTGGATGGGCTTGCGTGAGGCGAGAATTCGTCGGAACAATCGCTCGATCCGAAGATCTCGGTCATGATACTGCCGCGCTGACCAGAGCCAGTCAACTTGGCTCTTGCAGAGTTCGCCCCGGGTGATTCCGAGGCGTGAGGAGTCGCCTTCGAGTCGGATGCATCATCCGACTCGCCAAAAAACAATGAGCTCTATCTCAGAATCGTCTTGGTTACGACCCGAGGTACCCACTGCAGACGCAACGAACGTACCTGACGCACGTGGTGACTCACCACGTGTAGGATTCACGACAACAGGCGACGAATCACCTTCTGCTGAGGCGTGAGAGGCACATTCCGCGGCCGCACGCATGCGTGCAGCCGCTCTTCTTGCTGCTGCAGTAGCAGCTCGCGTGATTTTTGAAACCATGGTTTGGGTTTGCAAATGAATGGAATTTGACCAACAAGTGCTCCCTTTCCCAAAGTGATCCAACGGTGGTCACCCTGTCCCAAACAATCCTAATTCAATCAGCGAGTGATTGATAGTGAAGGAAGGGTGATGTAACGGGGTAGCCCGTTACATAAAATTGATACCAAACGGTGTCAATAGGAAATATTGTCTAGCGTAATAATATTCTACCGATGTTATCCGGGATGGAAATATTGAAGGAATATTATCCACCTTTAGGATAAAATTCATGCGCTGCTCAAAGATTGGTTGATGTACCACATATCAACCATAGATTGTCACCAATTGCAGCAAGACGCGCGCAATGAGTGGTGAGCTGGTTGTCGTCATACGACGGCGTAGTTTAAAATAGTTGGATAAAGATTAGAGTTACATTGATAGCTTAACTAAATCAAATGCAGTTCTTTTTTATCTTTACTTGACCGAGTCGTTTAAGTAGAATAGCTTCCTCTGCACGTACTAGTGTTCGTGAAGTTTCGCGGCACCCCAAACAAAGGTTGACCCGTAACATTGAAGAGTGCAGTTACTACTCAGCATCATTGCGCATCCTCGTACTGTCACTAACATCCTGGTCTTTGCGTCCATCTACGACAATGTCGCCACCTTCGGTGGGATGCGAGTTCCTTTCTATTCTGCTTGCAGTGCAGTAACAAGGCATTTACAGGAGTGCCTACTGCATGAAACGAGGAATCCACGCCTGACTTCTTCGTCACGATACAGAGGCATGCGGAAAACTACGTGCAATACGTGATCTTGAAAAATAGTTGTCTGGAGGACAAAATCGCTGGCACGAAAATGACGTGCAGGTTGTGACTGAACAGCTCAATACCAATAACCTTGCACTCAGCTGTATCATCGGGTATTGCGAGCAGATGAACATGCATCATTCCTAATTCGGACGCCTCGGGAGGTGCTCATTCGTTTTGACACCTTCTTTTTGCAGCCATGCGCCTACAACATGCTTGCGTGCCAGAGAGACTACCATGGAGCAAATGAGCCGTTGGCCTACTTGCAAGACAATGCATACCAGGCAGACAAATGAAGCAACGAAAGATCTGGTGAGATGGTGGCTGATCCGAGTGTCAGCCTGCAACTGATAGACAAGCCGTCTGGATGCTTACTTGGCTATGCTTCATCATAGGGTCTGTCCACAAGATGGCTGACATCGTCCACTTACAACAAGTTGTTCGGTACACTTGTCATTGTGTAACGTGTATTATCTGCTTCATGGTTCGATCGGGCACTTGCTGTTGTGGAAGTGTTTTATGGTGAGTCGACTTTTGGTACTGTATCAAGTCATGCATTCCAGAGCGGTGACACTATCTCATTGTCGCTCGAGGTTCTGTGGATCAGCACAACACCACGACGTGGGAGCAAGATGGTTTTTGGGTGGTTTGGTTGGTACAGGAGGAGTGTTGTAAACCACTTTCCTCTACGGTCGGAGGCGCTTCGAAGAACAGTCAAGCTCACAGTACATATGCTCGTCGTGAGAGGGCCAGGTATCGGAGAATACATGGAAGTCCACAGCACAACGTCGAATGGCACGAACCGACCTGTGAACACCCGGTGCTGGAGCTGCTGGAGACGGTGTCCCGATACAAATAACGCGCTACTGGCCAATAAAGGAGAGCAAGTATCCACTTCGGCAGCGATTGCGGTGCATTGACGTATGCTTGCTTACAGCTTTCACACTTCGTAGATCGCAATAAGTCATCAATGTGGTTGTTTCCTCTACATGCAGAACATCTCGGTCAGACGGATTTGTACACGTCACGGTGATAAGGATCGCAACGGTATTCATAAAAGCACCGATTCAGTGTACACCTAGGATCTCTATGCTGCTCAAGCGACGTTCTGCATCAATCGTACGTGCCGACGCAAACGCGCCAGCTTTCAAGCGGTAGCGAGGCTTTCTTCACATATTATGTAACGGGGCACCCTTTGTTTGGGGTGCCGCGAAACTTCACGTACACTAGTACGTGCAGAGGAAGCTGTTCTACTTGAATGACTCGGCCAAGTAAAGATAAAAAGAGAACTGCATTTGATTTAGTTAAGCTATCAATGTAACTCTAATCTTTATCCAACTATTTTAAACTTCGCCGTCGTATGACGACAACCAGCTCACCACTCATTGCGCGCGTCTAGCTGCGATTGGTGACAATCTATGGTTGATATGTGGTACATCAACCAATCTTTGAGCAGCGCATGAATTTTATCCTAAAAGTGGATAATATTCCTTCAATATTTCCATCCCGGATAATATCGGTAGAATATTGTCACGCCAGACAATATTTCCTATTGACACCGTTTGGTATCAATTATATGTAACGGGCTACCCCGTTACATCACCCCCCCTTCACTATCAATCACCCGCTGATTGAACTAGGATTGTTTGGGACAGGGTGACCACCGTTGGATCACTTTGGGAAAGGGAGCACTTGTTGGTCAAATTCCATTCATTTGCAAACCCAAACCATGGTTTCAAAAATCACGCGAGCTGCTACTGCAGCAGCAAGAAGAGCGGCTGCACGCATGCGTGCGGCCGCGGAATGTGCCTCTCACGCCTCAGCAGAAGGTGATTCGTCGCCTGTTGTCGTGAATCCTCCACGTGGTGAGTCACCACGTGCGACAGGTACGTTCGTTGCGTCTGCAGTGGGTACCTCGGGTCGTAACCAAGACGATTCTGAGATAGAGCTCATTGTTTTTTGGCGAGTCGGATGATGCATCCGACTCGAAGGCGACTCCTCACGCCTCGGAATCACCCGGGGCGAACTCTGCAAGAGCCAAGTTGACTGGCTCTGGTCAGCGCGGCAGTATCATGACCGAGATCTTCGGACCGAGCGATTGTTCCGACGAATTCTCGCCTCACGCAAGCCCATCCAACGATAGGACGCGTGGTGATGGTGATGGTATCCCTATGCATCGCCACTAGCAAAGTAACTCGAGGGATCGGGGTAACACTGGTACCAGAGCTCATGCTGGCACCAATCAAGAGGCCAGGGACCGGAATGTCCTGCGCCACGCTCCCCAAGTGGAGTCTCCATGGATGCCGTCATACAAGTAGTTACATCGAGTGGCCAGCACGACTACCGAACGGGATCGAGTCCCGTTGCATGATTGCAGGAAGATTTGCCCACCTGATTTCAGCACGGAAACTATCCGTGCTGAGGAAGAATTCTGCACCGATGCGTTTTTCAAACATCGATGGTACAATGGTAGCCGTGTTCAGGACGACAAAGCCTTGGTGCAGGGATGGAATGCCCTCATCCACAACATCGATTGTATTGGCCGTGAGGCTTGGCTCGCCAAACTTGATGCAGCTCGCATCAGGTATGATAAACGCAACCCAGTCGGGGCGCGATACAAGTTGCACCGGCTTTCAAGAGAGGCAGGATTACCCTGTCTATCGTGGGGTGATTCGTGTCCAGGTTGCCTGGAAAACTCGGACCGTGCCCCTAAGAAGGCCTACCTCCCTAATGATCCCTACTGAACGCGCATCTCTTCCGAGATGGCCGAAGGGATTGACACCTTGCAATCCCTGTACTCGCGTTCGGGAAGGTCGTTTTCCGACGGCCCTTCTTCAAACGCAGCGGGTGGGTCTCGTCGTACTGCTCGATGAGACCAAGGACATCAACAATCAGCTGGGCACGAGGCTCCCAGCTATCTCACGCCGGTGGATAGCCATACTAGAGGACGGGGTAACTCGTCCGGACGCCATTCACATCGCGGTGGTTCAAAATGCGATTTACTAGGAAGCGTTGACCACCGCTTGAGTCCACCAAAGGATGTGGTGGAGGTGGGAACACCTGATCCAGCTCGAGGGTCGGATCAATTTGAACTTTATGTTCAAGAGCTGAACCGTCTCACGGAACAGTTGCAAGATGACCTGGCTCATGAACGGTCTCGGCGTTATGGGCTTGAGGATCTTGTAAGGGATAATTACAATTCCCTAACGCACGATCGTTCGGACGATCGTGCCGCTTTTTCGTTTGCGCAACTTGAGAACGGACGTTCGACTCTTTTTCTTCGTGAAGAGCTGGCTGTAGCTCGTCGAGACATCGTTCAACTGCGCGAACAGGTCACTTCGCTAGTCGACCAACTAGCTCTATCAAACGGGCCACTCGAAGATGGTCTCGGCTCTCGACTGCGGAGGTGTTCTTCGTATCTCGAAACGGGCCCGTACTGATAGTACGGGCGGAGACGTCCAACGTAAAACGTAGGATGCGTACGCATCTTACGGGGCAGTTCAATCTTGTATGCGTTGCCCATTCGGCGCAACACACGAAATGGACCGATGTACCGGAGCAGTAATTTACTGCTGCCCACGTTTGTCACTGCGTGCTTCGGTGAATTTAATGTAGACATTAAAACTAGGTCTCCTTCTTCAAATGAAAGAACATTTGCTCTTCCATGTTTGTCTGCATTTCTCTTTTGTCTGTCTAGTGCATCTGCAACAGAGTCCTGAACGAAGCGGACAACCGCTTCGCGAGTCAGCAGAAATTCCTCTGCTGATTCATTCCTTGTCAACAGCAGTGTGCTTCGTGTGCACTGCTGAAAGAGCGTTGTCTTCACCAGTGAGGGTGTCATCGTCCTCACTGTGGCAGTCATTGGCGATGCTGAATATACCAGCATCGTCGTCACCAACATCATCATCGATGTCGATGTGGTCGACGTCGGTATCCATCACGTCGACACCATTGTCGACGGGTGATGAGCAAGAACCAGATCGGTTTTTGCTCGAGCGAGTCCACCCCCCCCCTTAAACTAGAGTCACACTCTAAGAAGGCGGGTAAATGTGGGTGGCGTATTCCATTCACGAAGAATGATGTATGCGTTGTAGACGCGTGCACCGAGTTGTTGATGACGAATTCCGCCATCGGCAAGAACTCACTCCAGCTCGTAAACGAGTGTACATACCCTCGAATTATCTCTTCGAGAGAGCTGTTGACGCGTTCCGTTTGACCATCTGTTTCTGGGTGGTCAGAAGCTGACATCTTCAAACGTGTTCCAAGTGAACGGAACACGGATTGCCAGAACTCTACTGTGAAGCGGGGGTCCCTATCGGACACGAGTTCACGGGGTAACCCGTGAAGTCGGAAGATTGTATCGATGAATACACGCGCACAGCCCTGGGCTATGATTGACTCCGGTACAGCAACCAGATGTACCATCTTGCTGAACCGATCAACAAACACAAGAATAACAGTATTCTTGTGAACGTCTTTGGGAAACCCGAAGATGAAGTCCATCGATACGGACTGCCAACACTCTGCCAGAATCGGAAGAGGCTGCAAGGGTACGCGGGATGAAGAACTAGGTTTCACCCGTTGGCAAACTTCGTGAGCGCGAATGTATTTCCGCACGAACTCATACTGGCGGGGTCAGTAGAAGTCACGACTCACCATGAGGTAAGTCTTTTCTCTACCGCGATGCCCACTTGTTGGGGCATCATGATGCGCAATAGCAAATCATAATGAGCCGGAACGACGACACAAGGTGTGTCGCCGTGGACTGCTGTTTAGTACAGCATTCCATCACGAACCGAATATCGTTCGGTTGAAGAGCGGTATTGAGACGTCAAGCTTGTCAAAGCTTGATAACACGGATTAGATACGCAATCCATCAACCGCAGAAGAAACTCATCTTCTGCGTATGCTTTTCGCACTTCGTCGAGCAGATTCGACGACGGAACACCTACTGCTAGTGTCGCGACAGTGGGATCACCCCTAATGTTGGGTCGCGCAGTCGACTCGAAATCGAGCCGACACAAAAGAGCATCAGCGACGACATTAAGTCGTCCTGGTTTGTACTCGACGGAGAAGTTGTACTCCGCGAAGAAAGACAGCCACCTCGCCATTTGTTGCAATAGATGTGGCCTGTTTATGGCCGTGCGTAACGACGCATGGTCGGTATAAACGATGAATGGTCTATCTCCGAAGACATATACCCGGAACTTAGCCAGTGCATATTTCATGGCAATGCGTTCCTTGTCATGCACTGGATAGTTCCGCTCAGCTGTTTGCAGCTGACGCGATTGATAACAGACGACGCGCTTAACGCCGTCTGAGTCGTACTGCATTAACGCGCAGCCGATCGCAAAATCGCTGGCGTCACAGACCACATGAAATGGCCTATCCTGATCTGCAATCGCCAACACAGGCTATTGCACCGAGCTTTTCTTGATGCCTTCAAAAGAGTGCTGACACTCAGCGCTCCATGACCACCTCTCGTTTTTATTTAGTAGACGAGAGAGATGCACGGTCATCTCTGCATAGTTGTGCGAGTATTTGTGCAAGTACGCCGCCAAGCCAACGAACTTTCGAAGTCCCTTGACGTCGACTGGCACAGGCCATTCGCTAATCGCCTTGATCTTTTCCGGATCAGGGCGTGCACCGTTTTTCCCCACGATGCAGCCAAGAAGTGGTATTTCGTTCGCTACGAATATACACTTCTTGAGGTTCGCGAACAACTTATGCTCTCGCATCAGAGTAAGAACCTTCCGGACGTGGATTCTATGAGCCTTAACGTCCGTCTTTCCATCCGTAGCCCGGATATGGACGAAAACATCGTCGAAGTAACTCGGTGCGAAATCGCGCACCGATCGCAACATATGCGTAACACATCTGTTAAACGTTGCGGGGGCGCTACTTAGCCCCTGTGGTATCACTAGCCACTCCCAGAGCATACCACTGGGGGTGCCCACTGCTGTGTAAGTGATATCCCGTTCACGCATTAGGATTTGATAGAATCCATCCATCAGACCCATGGATGAAAAGATGGTACTCTTTGCCATACCATCTATTATGACATCCTTTCTTAGATCGGCGTTTGAGCCGGTACCGTTGAAGTGTTCAATTTGTTGAACACGTGCACTATCCACCACCCTCTTGTGGCTTTTCACACACAGAAGGTCGGAGAGCTGTGAGGAGAAGTTGACTCCCTCACATGGCCATCCGCTAAACGATTGGCTAAGAATTTGTCGATCGCTGTAACCTTTTCAAGAGGAAGTGGCCACTGCTTCATGACACAGTATTTCGAACCGGGTTTCAGTTCGATCTCATGCCGAGTGCCTTTGTCCTTGGGCAGCTCGCATGGCACGGATTCGGGAAAACATCCCTGAATCCGACCGAATCCTAATACAAAGGAGTTGTCTTTAAAGACTCCCAAGATTGAGACGTGTATCGCTCAATCCGGGTCTTCTCATCGAGGACACTCTCGTCCGTGGATGAGCTACTAAGAACCCGTTCGTTCTCAGCAAACACTTATGCCGAGCGTTCATTGCCGACGTACTCGTCCTCTGTGATGAGTACGCAGAACTGCTCGATCCTGTCACTACGCAGATCTCGCAAGAATTTTTTAGATTCTAGCGTTGGCAACTTGATTACCTCCGAAGCTGACTTCGGAGGTAATCAAGTGTATAAGCGCATATACTTGATCCGCCATTCACCAAGACATTCACTGTCTCGGTGATTTTCTGGGCAAATACATCCGCAGGTGGTTGGGGATCCACACCCTCAACATAACTCTCTCGGGAGTTATTGCTCTCAGGAGCGCTGGAACTTACTTCCATTATGTGTACTGACTGTGGGTGTACTACCACAGTCAGGTCCTCTTCGATCGACTCTCTTTCAGTCAAGCGGCCTTGCTCTACGATCGATTCTCTGACAGACCATCTCGCTTCAACGTGCTGTCCATCCAGAAAAACAATAATCTCTTCTCGGATGCACCCTTCTTGGTGTGCATCCGTGTTCCAGTCTATTGGATCTCGTCTAGTGGTGAACCTTCGGCGCAGCCTGTGTCTCTACACAGGTGCCGGAAGCTGGTTCCACAGTGCAGTGGCCTTCTACACTGTGATCTTGTGCAATCGTACTAACGACCGTACCACAATTGAGGCCATCGCACTCACACGTAGTACATCCACACGCTTGTGGACGCTCCAAGACGTTCATCAGATGGCCATCTGATGAACAAACGGCAGGCATCTTCTCGGATCGATGCTGCCAGCTAACCCATGGCTGGTACTTTCGAAGCCATGGCAGACCAAGGATGACATCAAATTTGTCATTCAAATCTAATACGATAAAGTCATCATCGTACTGCTTTCCTTCTAGTGTGTAGTGAATTCCCACTACACGTTTGCTCACTGTTACGGATGCGCTTGTTGCAAGACACACCGTCATTCTCGTTGGATGGAACTCTCGCTCAACATAGTCGAGCCTACTATCCCTTAGCGACTGACGTCGAATAAAACTGTTCGACGCCCCACAGTCAACTAGGGCGCGAAGGGACTTTCTACGTGTCATTTCGATCTTCAAAGTGATGAGAGACTCCTCATCACTAGAGGCAGTAACACACAGAGACTGCGTGTTGGGGGCAATTTTCGTCAAGGGTCCTGCAAATTCTCTTGACGTTGCTGGATCAACAGGGTGCTCCGCCCCTAATGACCCTGACCATTTTTGGACGGTCCGACTTGCTGTCGCGGCTAAGCGACATGATCGGACTCACGCCTCGGACCCTTCCTTGGCCGACGGCGGTCATTACGCCCTGTCTTTGGACGTGTTCCAGTGCTCGGGACACTACACTCATGAGCGTATTGTCCAATCTTCTGACAGCGATAGCATCTTGCCGTTCGCTTGTGACTCAGAGAGCGAGAGTTCTAGCTCTCGATGTAACAGAGGTCCATTGGTTCGGGACCTCCTGTTTCCTGTCGTATCGTCGGACGATAGTTTCGCGAGTTAGTCTGAGCCTGTCTCAGACAAAAGTCCTCTTGTTCCGCATATGCTGTCACCTTTTCCAGCGTATGGAAGTCCTCTCGGAACACGTAGTTCTTAACTAATCCATCTACAAGGCCGTAGATTAACACATTAATGAGCGTGTGCTCATCAACAGGGTTTTCCGTGACGCTACTCGCAAGGTAGCGTAGGTGTTGTGCGTAATCATGCACATCACGCTTACCTTGCTTGAGCCTCAAGAGTGCAGAGCGTGCTCTGAGCTCGGCTCTTGGCGGCTCAAACGTCTCTTTGAGCCGAGACTTCAAGACCTCCAACGACTCAAACACGTTCGGGTCGTAAAGCTTGAGCCCTAAGGTCCAAGTCTTTGCTCGTACTGTCAAATTTAGCACAGCGAAGGCGAATTGCATCCCGTCACCCTCGATGTGACGGGCCCTGATGGCGTCGTCTAACTCGACGAACCATCTTAAAAGGGAATCTTCATCTGTTCCCTTGTACCTTGAGATATCGATCTTCAAGTTTTCGAATAGACGCGTGTGTGTCGGCCCGCCGATCGACTGATGAGAGCCTTGCTGCTGTAGCAAGGCCATCTTCGGTCTTTCGACGGCAAGTTCCCCTTGTGGGAACGTGTTGATAGCAGCATGTTGCTGGTCTCTGCTTAGAGACTCCAACATACCACTGATGGCGAGTTCGCCCATGAGCACACTCATGCGGCCGACTACCTCCCATTTTGAGTCACTCAGATGGGAGTAGCCTTCACGTGTGACGTGAAAGCTGTCGTCTTCTACTTCCAACATGTTCATGTTGAACGGACACTAAGTAGTCATTGGACGGACTACAAAGTGCTACCAGGTGTAACGGGGCACCCTTTGTTTGGGGTGCCGCGAAACTTCACGTACACTAGTACGTGCAAAGGAAGCTGTTCTACTTGAATGACTCGGCCAAGTAAAGATAAAAAGAGAACTGCATTTGATTTAGTTAAGCTATCAGTATAACTCTAATCTTTATCCAACTTTTTTAAACTACGCCGTCGTATGATGACAACCAGCTCACCACTCATTGCGCGCGTCTTGCTGCGATTGGTGACAATCTATGGTTGATATGTGGTACATCAATTAATCTTTGAGCAGCGCATGAATTTTATCCTAAAAGTGGATAATATTCCTTCAATATTTCCATCCCGGATAACATCGGTAGAATATTATCACGCCAGACAATATTTCCTATTGACACAGCTTGGTATCGATTCCATGTAACAGGCTACCCCGTTACATGTTGTCTGCCTGCGTGTATGTTGTGAGTGGCGATCGCCTCTCCGCTGATCATACCCAGCCTTTTTACGTCTCTCTAGATGCTCTGCGCTGAGTTGACATGTCCTCCATCTTCGAGCTGACACGGACGTATCACGCACATCTGTTGGCGTGCTTGATCCGAGCATCTGTAGTGTTCATGATCACTGAGATGACTCGATATTGAAGGTGCTGTTCCCTAATTTGACCTTTTGTAACGGGGTGAATCGTTACATAACAATTTATAAGAAATTGTTAATAGAATATAACTATAAGAGTTATATTCTCAGAATATTGTCATAAGGACAAATATTCTGTAGCACTTACGAGTAAATCCTAATTGGTTGATATAGGCCATTATATCAACCAACGAAGACGCGCCACGACAGACGCACGCAATGAGTGGTGAGCAGATAACTGATTTACACATTTGTATTTAGACATAGTTAGATGAAGATAAATAGTGATTTATTGCAGACATTAACTATTATAAATACAGTTCTACTTTTACTTTAACCAAGTACTCGCTTCTTCTTACCGTCTTCCTCTGCACGTACGAGTGTACGTGAAGTTACGAGGCACCGCCTTATTCTGTCATCAGAATAAGTAGCTTGTACTGTCACCAGTACAAGCTTCAGGGTGCCCCGTTACACCCGGTAGCACTTCGTAGTCCGTCCAAGGACCACGTTCACATCCAACATGAATGTGTTGGATGATGAAGATGACCAAAGCTTTCACGCTACGCGTGACGGCTACTCCCATTTGAGCGATGTCGAATGGGATGCGGTTGAACGAATGGGTTCGATCATGGGCATCCATGCTGTTAGCGTCATGCTAGAGGCTCTCAATAGAGATGCCCAACATGCTACTATCGCCAAGTTCATTCAAAATGAACTTGACGCAGGACGCGAGAAAGTAGCCTTGCTTCACCAACAAGGTTATCAACAAGCAGAGTTGTTGAGAGAACAAGGTGCTCAACAGTTTGAACTGTTGAGACAGCAGCAGGCTGCTGCTGGTGGGTCTATGCACTCGCGTCGACCCGAAACCTTGAAGATTGACATCTCCAAGTATAGGGGGGTCGAAGAAGACTCCCTCTTGAGATGGTTCGTCGAATTGGATGACGCCATAAGGGCGCGTCGCATCGACGACGGGGATATGCAAGCTGCATTTGCCCAGTCAAATCTGGCAGGACGTGCCAAGACTTGGGCACTGGGGCTCAAGCTGCACGACCCATATGCGTTTGGGTCGTTGGAAGTCTTCAAGTCGCGGCTCAGACAAACGTTTGAACCGCCTAGAGCTGAGTTCAGAGCTCGAACCGAACTCTTGAAGCTCAAGCAGGGTAAGCGTGATGTGCACGCTTACGCTCAACATATACGACATCTCACGAGTTGTATAAGTTCCAATCCGGTGGATGAACACACGTTGGTTTCGGTGTTCATGCAGGGTCTTGCGGATGGTCCCGTCAAGACTCACCTGTTCCGGCTTGAACTAGATTTACTAGAACAAGCCATTTCCATTGCGGAGCAGGAAGACTTCAGTCTGAGACAGGCTCGCGCCAGCTCGACATCATATCGTCAACCGAGACGATATGACAACGGAGGTCCAGAGCCGATGGAACTCTGTTATGTAGAGAGCGAGAAGGCTCGCTCTACAGGCTACAAGAAGTTGCAGAGATGCAACAGATGTCAAAAGACAGGACACTACGCTTACGAGTGTAGTGCCCCTCGTCCAGTGTCTCGCGACACTGGGCGTAGTGACCGTCCACCCATGAGAAAGGGGCAGGGACGAGGGTCCGCTGTTGGTGCAAAGACGCAACAACGGGATGGACCGTCAAAAAACGGACAGGATCAGTAGGTGCGGAGCACCCTACTGGTCCAGCAACGTCAAGAGAATTTGTAGGCCTCTTGATGAAGGTTGCTCCCAACACACAAACGTTGTGCGTTGCTGCTCTAGGTAATGAGGTCTCACTCATTACCTTGAAACTCGAAGTGACGAATAAGTTGTCCCTTCGAGCTCTAGTCGATTGTGGGGCGTCCAACAATTTTGTGCGACGCCAATCGCTAGAAGATGGTCACTTTAAATTCAGTGAATGTGACACACCTCCTACGAGGATGACGGTACGTCTTGCGACAGGCGCATCCGTAACCGTCATGAAGCGTATAGTGAAGATCCACTATACGCTAGAAGATACCCAATATGACGATGACTTTATCGTATTGGATTTGGATGACAAATTTGATGTCATCCTTGGAATACCGTGGCTCAGAAGGTACGAACCACGGGTAAACTGGCAACATCGAACAGTAACGATGCCTGCCGCTTGTTCATCAGATGGCCATCTGATGAACGTTTTGGAGCGTCCACAAGCGTGTGGATGTACTACGAGTGAGTGCGATGGCCTCACTTGTGGTACGGTCGTTAGTACGACTGCACAAAACCTTAGTGTACCAAACGGTTACACTTCGGAGAAAAGTTCCGGCGGCTGTGAGGAAACACAGGCTGCGCCGAAGATCCACCACTCGAATAAGTCGGGTGGACTGGGACAAAGATGTATCCCTAGCGGGGAACATCTAGAAGAGAAACAATCGATCGCTCAGGTTAAGCGAAACGATAATCCTAGATCGACTGGAGAGTCTTTCGTAGAGGATCTCGCTGTGGTTGCGCAACCCCAGCTAGAGGAAGTAAAGGGAATAAGTCCCAAGATTACAAATACGGTGGAAATAAGTCCCCGGGAAGCCGAAGGAATAAGTCCTTTGAAGCCTGAGGGAATAAGTCCCCAGGAAATGACAGAGACATTGAATGTCATAGTCAATAACGTATCAAGTGTAGGCGCTTATACACTTGATCTGATTGCGCCTCCGAAGTTAACTTCGGAGATCACTCAGTTGCCAACGCTCGAACATAAAAGGTTCTTGCGTGATCTGCGTAGTGGCAAAGTCAAGCAGATCTGCATACTCGTCGCTGACGACGAGTGTGTAACCGACATAAGGTCAGCAACAGTGTTCACTGAGAACGAGAGAGTTCTCAGTAGTTCATCTATGGACGAGAGTGTCCTAGATGAAAAGACACGAATTGAGCGATATGACTCCCAATCGTGGGAATCGCTCAAGACAAATCCTCTCTATGAAGATTTGGTTGAATTCAAGGATGTATTCCCTGAAACTGTTCCGTGCGAATTACCAAAGGATAAAGGTATTCGACACGAGGTCGAGCTTAAACCAGGCTCGAAGTACTGTATCATGAAGCAGTGGCCACTGCCTCGTGAACAAGTACTTACGATCGACAAGTTCTTTGCCGATCGTTTAGCTGCGGGCCATGTGAGAGAATCAACTTCCCCACAAAGCTCTCCGACCTTCTGTGTGCGAAAAGCAACAGGAGGGTGGCGGATAGTGCACGCGTTTAACAAATTGAACGCTGCAACGGTACCGGCTCGGACGCCGGTACCGAGGAAGGACGTAATCATTGATGGTATGTCAAAGAGTACCATCTTTTCGTCCATGGATTTGATGGATGGCTTCTATCAAATCCTTATGCGAGAACGGGATATACCCTATACCGCAGTTAGCACGCCTAGCGGCATGATCTGGGAGTGGCTAGTAATGCCACAAGGGCTTAGTAATGCCCCTGCCACGTTCAACAGATGTGTATCACATCTGTTGAGACCAGTACGAGAATTCGCGCCGAGTTATTTCGATGACGTATTCATCCATAGTCGAGCTATGGATGGAAAGTCGGACGTTGAGGTTCACAGGTACCACGTCCGACAAGTTCTTACAATCATGCGAAAGCATCAATTGTATGCTAACCTCAAGAAGTGTATATTTGCAGCAAGCGAAATACCACTTCTTGGGTGCATCGTTTGTAAGAACGGTGTACGTCCTGATCCCGAAAAGATTAAGGCGATCACCGACTGGCCTGTGCCGGTTGATGTCAAAGGTCTTCGAAAATTCCTTGGGCTAGCGGCGTATTTGCATAAGTATTCACGCAATTACGTCGAGATGACTGTGCACCTCTCTCGTTTGTTGAAAAAGAACGAGAGGTGGTTATGGAACGCTGAATGTCAACGCTCCTTTGAGGGTATCAAGCAGAGCTTGATACAATCCCCAGTCCTAGCAATAGCCGATCAGGACAGGCCATTTCATGTGGTCTGTGATGCCAGCGATTTCGCAATCGGCTGTGCATTAATGCAGTGCGATCTTGAAGGCGTTGAACGCGTCGTCTGCTATCAGTCGCGTCAGCTGCAACCAGCTGAGCGGAACTATCCAGTGCATGACAAGGAAATCCTTGCCATGAAGTATGCACTCGCGAAGTTCAGAGTCTATCTATTAGGAGATAGACCCTTCGTTGTTTACACTGACCATGCGTCATTACGCACGGCAGTGAACAGCCCGCACCTTTCACAACGAATGGCGCGGTGGTTGTCATTCTTTGCGGAATACAACTTTACAGTCGAGTACAAACCAGGACGACTTAATGTCGTCGCTGATGCACTCTCACGTCGTCCCGACTTTGAA